GATGAGAGGGAATGGCCTCAAGTTGTGCCAGGGGAGATTCAGGTTGGATATTAGGAAGAATGTCTTCACTGATGGAGTGGACAGGCACTGAAATGGGCTGCCCAGGGAGGTGGTGGAGTCACCGTACCTGGAGGTACTCAAGAAACATGGAAATGTGCTGAGGTGCACAGAGACAGAGGAAGCTTTGTAGACTCAGTGCTTTCTGTCTGGAAGAAGAGAGACGTAGCATTGCTACAAAGATATTGTTCATATTTCTCCCTTTCTTTCCCAGATGCCAGAAGAGAATGTGATGCTATAGGTATGGAGACTGGAAAAGCATGAGAATAGGGGTTGGTTAGCCTGCAGGGGAGAGCAGAGCATGTGTGGGAGAGATGATGACAGACTCCATTAAACCAAATCTTTATTTTTAATATCTTCATCTGATTTTCACATTAACCTCATTCAAAGAAAGGACACGTTTTGTTCTAGAAATAACTTAAAGGTTTTTGTAGAGGACATTACAATGACCAAAGTTACTAACCCAGATTATCTTCCTAGTTTCTGCTTTGGTTGTTGGCAAATGTCAATACCTATCAAGAAAGTCAGGCCCTTGTTTTTAAGTTTACAGAAATGCACATAACCAGTGATATGCATGGATAAAAGAGGAGGTCTTGTTGATACCAGGGGAATAAACTCAGTTCTTCCCAACCTGAGATTTTATTACACTCATAAAAGCAGTGTTAACTAGTATGAGCCATGAAATTGCTCGGGCTTTTAAAATAAATGAGTACTTTGGTTTGATTTCCTTCAGCTGTAGTTACTTTGGTATATTTATGCTTGAATTAAGTTTCCTTTGCTGGTATAAAGTCTGCTGGGCAGCTCTCTGATCTTCTGCAGTGTAGACAAAGGGAAATAAGAATATCAATCCGTCATCTCTCCTAATCGATCCTAGTAATTAACTCTTTTGGGTAGGTGTTAAGCAACTACTCTGAGGTTCTTGTGTGAGAATCCTAAATGCTGAAGGAGATTCATGTTGTGGATTCGCTCTGTTTGTACTGCTGCAGTAATTTTTCTTTTTCACAGAGGACAAAGAGAGAGAGGGGAATTCAATGCTTTTCTTTAGAATTAAAAGCACCTTTGGGGGCTGACAGTTCGGCTGGGGCTCCGCTGGTGTCAGGTTTCTGGTTGTGCTGTTACTGTCTCACTCACGAATTTTTTAGGTGAACTTTTAGAGGGGTTTGATTAACTAGCTTGTGTGTTACTTGGAATTCAGTTGGCCCCTTTCAGCCTCTTTTAAAGTTCATCAGCCAAATTTATGATGTTGACAATGATCTCTGATGTCCTGGAATAAGTCTGGGCCCTTGATCTTTCAGGTCGCTCAGCTTTTGATGCCGTGTCTTTGAAGAGGTGTTGATATCTTCATAAATCTCAGCAGAACCACCCTGGGGTGGCTGCAACCTTCCCTCTCGCCCTTTGCTCCCACAGCACTTGGAGCACTGCCGTGCCGGGGGCTTGCTCAGATCACGTGTGCCAAGTATGGAGGGAGAAGGAGGTGTTCTGAGCTGTGTTCCACTGCGTCTGTTACCAGGACTGGAAACCTCGTGGTCTGATGCTATCTGCACACCAAGTGTGCTGGTACAAAACATTCTACGTGAGTGGTCAAAATGGGAACGTATCCTCCCTTGATCGCTGGGCTGAAATGTTAAACAAGATAACGCTTCACAGACACTGCTGCTTTTGTCTTCTCTGTCCTGTGTTCCCGCTGTAAGATTCCTAAAATCTCTGCCAATTTTCACCTGAGTTTGTGCCACAGAACAGTTGCTGTCTGAAATCGAATTCTTCTAGCTGAACACATCAGGAAAGAGTTTGAGGTTTTCTGGCAATGAGTGTTCATAAGAATGCATTGGTCAGAGCCATTGCTAATGTTTTTTCTAAAAGAAATCATGAATATTTGAGCATTCGCTGTGCCTAGGAGTAAAGAACTACCTGTGTCATTAGAACCAGCAGTTTTGAAAGCTTTTCATGTTTATGTTAGGTAGGTATGCCTGTGGTGATGCAAGGCCTGTTTCTTAGGCTGAGCTCTTATGGTGAAAGCTCACTGTGGAGCTTTTGCCCTTCTTTTTTCTGCACAAGAATATTTAAGGGGCGCTTGAGATGGATAGGTCATGCTTTTTGGGTACAGATGTGTGCTAAAGCATACTGGTGTTTTGATTCCCCAGTCTTGTAACTTTTCAAACAACAGCAGTTCTTCACTTCCGAAGGATTTTTCTGGTTGTTTGTGCTTTGGTGAGTATTTCAGGGGCCTTTTTTAAAGTTTGCAGAGGATATGCTGACTGGCTTCTAAGCTTGCTAGAATCTGTTTATTACACAGAGCAGTGAATGTTTTATTGTGTTCAGTGAAAATTTGTTTCCATGTTAGAACTCAGTTCTAGCCCAGCTTCCTCTCTGCTCTTTTCTTTATTAAGTGCTAAGAAGGCGCAAGGATCCAGCACGTTTGCAGCACTGAGATGTCCAAATGTGTTCTCCATCACTTTCAGGCAGGCCAGAGACCGAGATAGAACTTCCCTGCCAAGTATTAGAGAGGTCGATGTTCCTTGGTCTGTGGATGTTTATTGTGGAGGAGGAGGGAGGAAGGAACGTTCAGATTTCTGCTGAACTCTTGGCTGAACTCTTTACACTAAAAAGATTTTGTTTATAATTTAACCTCAATACTGAGGAATGCTTTTCACAGACACAAGCCGTGTTTTTGGTAGAAACTTTGTACTGTGGAGGAGCCAATGTACAGTGGACAAGAATTTGCCAAAGCAGCTCATATAACCTGACTGTTCTGTGCTGGCATATCTCATTTTTGTTGCACCGATGTGGAAATGTAAAAATAGTGCTGTACTTCCTTTTGCTTGACTGTGTCTCTGCGCTCATGAGCTTTTTAGTTATTCATGTGTTCCAGCACAGATCAGACATTCTCATCTGAACCAGCAGTGGGAACAGTACATGGTGGCCTTAAAATTCATCTCAAGCTTAATACAGAATTGCAGTGAACTCAGTGCCCCATTTGGGCAGAGGACACGATGCATATAGTATTAGCTGGAACAGTCTGCACCGGCGCTGGAGCCCCAGAGCCAATAGGCAAAGGAAGAGCTGCAGCACTGAGACAGTGCCTTATGTTCCTGCTTAAGAATTACTCCTTTGGGTTCTTGCTGCTTGCATGGAGTTCGGGAAGCGGAGACTACAAGAGCATTCAGTTCTGGTGGTTGTGCACTTGGAAAGTGTGATGTTGTCAAATGTGACCAGTGCCCTGTGTTCTCTGTGGGTGATGGTTGCTGCTATAAGCAGTTATAGGGGTGCTGGTTGGGATGAGGTTTGGCAATCTAATGACCAGCTTATTCTAGACTAGGTCAAAGTTCTGAGCATTTGGCAGAGGTGCATCGACTTGTGGGTGTGTACTAATTGGCTCCTGAGCAGTACTTTCAGTTGGGGTTAGGAAGAAATCAAAAACTCAGGTTACTGGTGGATTTTGCAGAGCCTCTCGGGTTCAGAGGCCTGTGCTCCTGTCAGCTGCAATCATTGTCTTCAGCAGCTGTGACCATAGCTCCCTGCTTTAATTTGGGGTTTGGGATTACTTAGGTCATCTGAAATAGTGAGAGCCAAGTGATGTAATGGGTTGTGGGGTTCCTGAGTTGATTGGAAGAGGCACTGCAAGGGACCAAAGCTTCTGGCTTTTGTTCCCTGGTACTGTTAGCATCAGTGCTTGGGTTAGAGTTTGGGAACAAAGCACCTGAGGAGGAGAGGCGTGGTTTGTTTGTTTGCTTGATGGGTACTACTGAAACCACCAGGTTAGGAACAGGGCTGATGTTGATACTTGTTAATGCCTTGTGGTCTTAGGTAGTGCAGAGGTGCCCCTCTGCCATGGGCACTGATTTCCTAAATGTAGTTATTTATGGCTGGGTCAGGTTCTGGGAGCCTGTGGCAGGGCTTTGCTGGATGCTGCGTACCTTGTTTCCTCAGTTTACTATCTCTTCTCCCAAATGAGGCTGAAATGTAAATGGAGTACATTGTACAAATGGAGTTCAGGCTGGGATAGCTGTTTCCAAAACAGGGTTTAAAAGTGTGCTGTACTGTTTGCCTTCCTTGAAGATCTTAGCATTTTGGATTTGGTCTGCTTGCTTACAGTGAATGCAGACCATGTTCTGTCCCTCAACTTACAGCAGCCTTTTTCTTCGTAGTTAGTGACCTTCATGGTGTAGGCTTTAGTTTCCAGCCACAGTGGATAAAAAGGTGCGATGTTGGAATCTGGAGTTCTGACCTTTCTATTGGCAAAGACAAAACGAATGAAAGGACTTCAGCTGAGTTGTGAGAGACTCTGGAGATGAAGATTCCTTGTTTCCACGATACAATTAAATTGCATTTCTTGATATTTTGCTATTTAAACAGAAACACGTTGGGGCTTTTGTAGCAATGGCAGCTGCTGACAACAACGGGCATCCCAGTGAGAATGTTTGAATCCAGGGTTGGAGATGAAAGAAACAGTAAATCGATCACTTGCACTCACAGTTCACGTGCAGTAGAGGAAATAAATAAAGCAGACATGCTCACAGAGTATTGTAAAGCAAAATTTCTGATGACTGTTCCAGTGTGGGAAGGTGCTGTGTGTCTTTGCTGTGTTACACAGCGTCAGCTTGGTTAGCCAGCTTCAGCCACAAGAAGGACGCACTGTGATTTTCAGGAGGAGCAGAACGTCACTTAATTTCTTGCAGCTACAGCACTGCTTCTTTGCATCTCTTAAGAGTGTGTATGTGGGGGAGAATCTTAATTAGAGGAATTCCAGCCATTGACTGGATGATAAGCAATTGTCTGAAGAAGTTAGAAAACCTTGGTTTCCTTTTTTTGTTAGAAGCATTATGCAAGGATGTGTACTTGGTTGGTGCCTGCTAACAGTTTGCTAAGATGTAGTCAAATGTATCTAGAAGAAGGCATTTGTTTGTCACTGGTGTATCAATGCTCTTTCAATGCTTTGTTTCCAGGCCTTCTTGCAAATGTGCAATCTGCCAGTTCGGGTGGTTTGCAGGGCCAATGCAGAGTACATGTCCCCATCTGGTAAGTGCGGCCTTCATTTAGATTACTGCATTACACCTCCATTTTGGTACCATGGCAACCGTGCCTTCTCTCGCTGATAACAGGCGGTCAGCGCTGCCCCGTGTGGGGCCTTCCCCCTCCTCCTGTTCCTTTCCCATAAGCAATTAGAACAGTTACATGTCAACTAACGGTGGTACAACACGGAACCGAGGCTGTGAACACAGTATGTCAGTGCAGCTCAAATCTCTGGTGGCAATCTTCTCTAAAAGGCCTAAGCAGAAAGACTTACATTTCCTAGAATGTCTTTATTCTGCATCCAGGGAATATTCCTGCCGATCAGCGAGTGCTGGTATATTCTCCCGTATGTGAGAGGGTGACAATACTGGAGAGCCTCTTTTGTTACCTTACTTGAGAGATAATAGCCAGTATGTAAATACAGGGCGAAAATGAAGAGTGAGTGCATTGTCAGCCGAGGGTGACAGGTGATTTTAAACCTTTCTCTGATAAAGGAGACTGTCTGGGGAAAAAAACAACCAACCAAACGAAAACACCCCAAACCAGAACCCCACCAAACCTACCAACAATAAAGTCACCATATGAAGCATACAGTCTGCTTTCTGCTGAAGGTGACTGGTTGCCTAAAATTTCCCAGAGCCTGGTTCCAGAAGGTTGCCTAAAACCCAGCGGGAGCTGCTGACTGCAGGGCTCTCCGGTCTGGCAGGCCTTGCACTCCTTCCCAGTGTTTTGTTGCAGAAGGAGGTGCTTCTTTGCCAGTTGCCTGCCTCTAGCTGAGCCTGCCTGTCAGCATGGCTGCCACCCATATTGCTTCTGTTGCTGCTGGTATTGCAGGCAAAGCAAGTGGAAACAGTAAAAGCTAGCCAAACTTTGGTGTTATACATGATATATAAATAAAGGCTGTGTTGGAATGCCGAATGTCTGCATAGAGGAGCTTCTTAAGTGTGCAGCAGCAGGACAGATGGCAGCCCTGTGCCCTTTGCCTCCCCAGTCCATGGCCACACTTGTGGGCACCTGATCTGTAATTTTGGTCTGATCCCTTCTTCTTTCTGCTGGCTGATGAAAATGAGCACAAAGGGAACGGATACCAGCTCAATTTTAAACATAGCTACACATGCTCTTTTTGCCCTTACTCCTGGATTTTTATTCACTTTCCCAATTGTCTTTCTTTACAATATTTTGATTCTGTAAGGATAATTCAAAACAGGATTTTAATTGCTGTCCACTCCTTCTCTGCCACCAACAGTTTTGCGACAGCAGTAGACAGATGTGTATCTCATCTTTTTGGGGTGAAGGTTATTTACCTCACAGTCCACATAATGAGAAAATCCATTACGAGGGAGTCAGAAGTGGAGCACCAGAGGGCTGGTTGTTGTGTGTGAAGTGGAGCCTGATGGATATTGTGAAGCTCTGGAGCTCAGAGGGGGCTGCGTTTTCTTTCACAGTACGCAGCGTACGGACGCAGTGCAGCCTTTGGTATGGTGCACTTCTTTACCCTGAGGCCAGCTGGGCCAGTGAGAGTGAATCTCAGGGTAAAAATAAAGACTGGATGTGCTGTGAGCATGAACTCCGTGTGAACTAGGCCAGCAGTAGCTTTTATGTCAGTGGAAAGGAATGCATGTATTGCTAATATGTTTGGAGCTGGGCAGGTATTGATCTTGCTCTTCAGGAGTTTTGTAGAGAGCAGAGTTTGCCCACAGTGTGACAGGAAAGTAAGAGTGTGCTGTGTCCCACTGCACTGGGCTGCTTCTTTGCTGTATTTGGTCATGAGGGCTTTCTCAGTAATACAAACTGCCCAGTGCGTGTCTGTCTTGTGGCCAGTTTCAGTCATGTAAATAATCATAAACATTTAGTCTTAAATTTACACAGTACTTAAGATTGATGTTTGTCATTGCAGTTGATTGAAGAGATAGAAAATGAGCAACGTGATTAGGGTGGGTTGAAGGAAGAGGAGCCCTCAGCTCTCCTTTATGAGCTGGTCCCAGTCACTGGAAATCTAGGAGGATAGGAGGAGAGAGAGACAAGATCCAGCCTTGCTGAGTGTGCATTTTGCTTTCTCCTCTTGCTTTTCTGGGCTCGGTGCCACATCTCCCACATTCATTTCAGCAGCCCTTTCCCTGCTCGTGGGTTGGAAGGGAGGGTGGGAACGTCTTCTTGTCAGACTGTCCGAGGGCTCAGTCTGATTGCCTGGGATTTCCCACCTGTACTTCAGAGCAATGCTGAATTCAGTCTTTCCAGCAAAGCAAAATCCGTTATTAAAATACAGGTCAATAGATCTCATTCAGTAACTTTGAGGTAAGGAATTGCAAGTCAAAGAGGGTCAGAAGGAAGAAGATCGGGCAGTTACACTGGTTATTGCAAATGAAAGCTGTGTGAGTTTCATATGTAAAAACTTGACCTGTGTTCATCTGGAAAAAGAAAAAAGAACAACAAAAAACCAAGACTGATGTTCAGGCGTACTTGTGATATTTAATTGCACTGAAAATAGGAAATGATAGTTGACATGTATAAAAAGCTCCTAATAAAATACATTTCTCATTTTACAGGCAAAGTGCCCTTTATTCATGTGGGAAACCAAGTAGTATCTGAACTCGGGCCCATAGTCCAGTTTGTGAAAGCCAAGGTAATTACACACAGTCTGCATCTATTACTGGGTTGTGTACCAGTCTTCTTTAGCACTGCTGTGCAGTTGCTGTGCTCTGCTGGAATGTTACTTCATTGTTACAACGGTGCAGCAATCTGGTGCTGGTTCAAAAGAAAGACTCTCTGAAGTGAGAGTGCCGAGGTGGAAATGTTTCAATTTAACATTACCTCAAATTCAGGAAGCAAATTCTGTGCAGGACACGTGCGTGCCACTGCCAGTTTCTGCAGCTGGTTTTCTACGTCTCTGTCTCTGAATTTTTAAACCCAGAAATCACTGGTGTAAATTTTGAAGTTGTATTTTCAACAACATTGTCTTCTCACTGAGCACTTCATAAAGCTGTAGCACAGATGTAAATCTGTGTTTGCTTCTAGACACAGGCTGTGTGCTCACCTCTAACTGGTAATAACTACATTTATTGCAGATCAGTTCTGTTACATTACGATTATTTCTTTTTCATTCTAAAGGGCACTTTATGTAGAAAGTACGTGTGTAACTTGTGACGTGTTGTGTGACAGATCAGTATCTGAACCAAAGCTCATTGACTTCTGAGGTCTTTGGGTCAGGCACTGCTGAATATTCCAATATCCTCTCTTACGTGTCTCTTTCTTTCCCCATTAGGGCCATTCTCTCAGCGATGGGTTGGATGAAGTCCAAAAAGCTGAGATGAAAGCCTACATGGAATTAGTCAATAATATGCTCCTGACAGCGGAGGTACAGCAAACCATAGTAACTGCTCATACTTCCATAAGGGATTATAGGCAAGAATGCTTCATGATATTTTCTTGTTCTGGAAGTACTGTTTGTTCTTAGATTAAAATCTTAGATCAGGTCATCAGTTTTTATGGTGAAATGAGACAGGAATAAATTCCGTGGATCCTGTGGACTACTTGATGACATATTCCTGCAGACACAAGCCATGTGTACAGCTCCATTTACCTGTCTGAAGCACGCCCTGTAGCTGTAGAAGTGCCTGATTTGCACGGATGGAAAACGCCAGCAGTCCTGGCTGGCTGTGCAGCCCCACTGCCGCCTTCCACACAGCTGCTGTGCCTTGCTGGAGCTGGCCTGCCCTGCGGGTCGTGCCCGTGGCCTGTTAATGTGATGTGGGGCCGTGGGGCCGGTGCTGGAAATGCTCGCAGGCACATGGCTGAGGGAACCTGGGTGTTGAGCTGTGTGTGGCACAGGCAACTGCAGCAGGCCTTCGGCTCCAGCTTGGTTCCGCTGCTTGCGAGCCAGCAACTTGGAGCTGGGCTTGTGACTCTGGTTTTAATTTCTTCACTGTGTTCAGAAGTCTAATAGAAGGCACCAAATGGAAATTTAATCTAATATAGAAAGGAAAATTCTACTAGTGAGAAATGATTGTATCTGTATTCTCGTTTATTAGGAAGTTGTAGTAAGTGCTCTTTCTGTTCCTAGCTCTATCTGCAGTGGTGTGATGATGTTACAGTAGAGGAGGTGAGTGGTTCTGCAACATTTATCTTAATTAAAATTTAATGAGAAAACACTTTTGCTCACAAATGGAAGTCCCTACTCATAAATGAAACATTGAGCTCCGTTAATGATACAGTCTTCTCACTTGAATTCTGCTTGCGTATACATTTCAGGGAAGTTGTAACTTTACTGGAGGTATGTGACTGCAGAACAAATATGAGTTTTGCATATGTTTCCAAGGTAATAATTTCAAATGGTTATACTGAAAACAATAAATTCTGCACAAATAATTGCAACGTATCACACAACATTCTTTTTCTTTATTGCTCTCTTAGCTGTTTTGTAAATAGAGCTGCCTGCATTTTTAGATTGTAACAAAGTAACTTTCTGTTTCTTAACAAAGATTACTCACCCAAGATATGGCTCTCCTTACCCCTGGCCTCTTAACCGCATTCTGTCCTATCAGAAGCAATGGGAGATAAGAAGGAAGATGAAGGCCATTGGGTGGGCTGGCAAGACGCTCGAACAGGTCAGTATGAGGGGTAAGGCTTATTTCTTACCAGTGTTTTCCACTGTTCTTTTATTTAAGACTTAAGAGAAGTAACACTTTATTTAACTGCAACTGTTACAACAAAGTTCTGTGCAGAGTTATGTGAGGTCAGGTATCTCTCATCAGCAGTGATAAATCTTAAATGATTCGCAGTCTGATGGAGTGGCAGGAAGGATGCTTTACCACACGTGCATCTCTGTTCACGTTAGTTTAGCTGACGGTCCTGAAAAACAGATTTTGAATTGCTGCCTCTCTCCTGTGGCATTAATAAGCACGCTTTGCAGGACTGCAGCTTCACTTCCCAGTAGTCTAAAAAGAAAAGGAAAAGAAAGCAATTTGATGTGCAACTTAGTACCTTTCAGTAAGCTAAGTTAAAAATTTCTTGGAAAGCACTTAATTAGAGTTGGCTCTACATTAAATGTGTGATTAAATAACACTTAGCTGCTGCCTTTAGCAGCTTTTGATGCTCCAGCATTGTATATTCCTTGTTCCCTCTGCCAGCACAAATACAGTAAGTACATATATATATTTACTGTTGTTCTTTCCTGACAATATCTTATCTCTCGTGTGTTTTGATAGGTGCTTGAAGATGTAGACCAGTGTTGTCAGGCTCTCTCCCAGAGATTAGGAACACAACCATATTTCTTCAATAAGCAGTAAGTTGCTCCCTACAGAAATGGTACATCCTCAGCAAACCCCCACCCGTGTATCTATATAAGTATATATAAAAACGTGCTTACAGGTATATGTTTATAAATATGGAAACCTTCTCTTTCACTTTAATAGTTGAGGAAATTTGAATGGGTGGCTGCAATACAATTTCAGAAACAAGTCATTATAGATTTTAAAAGGAAAGAGCACCACAGCTCATGTAGGCTACAAGCTTGCACCTGTATACAGTTGATTTCTTAAAAAGAAAGAAAGAAAGATACTTTTATAGCTTGTATTTCTTAGGCGATGTTCTTTACTGAGCACAGGACAGGAGACAAAAGGAACAACCTGGCCTTTGTCAGATGTCGTTTGCTTCCATTCGTTGATGCCAATTGCAAAAAGCTATTTTTTTCTCTCTGTAATTCATGTTTTTTTTTACATATTTAAATTAAATGCTAAATAACATCTGAGGAGTACTTCCTGAGTTGTATTCAGGGCTGATAACTATAGTGTAAGGAACTGTGCTGAAAGCCTCCAGGTTTCTCAGGCTCTTGTTTTTAGGTATCCTCTGCAGCCAGTTGGAGGTTTTGTGGATTAAACAGTAGTAGGGGAGTAACAGTGAAAAACAGCAAAATGACCACTGTGTTTGTGTGACAGTTACCCAGGAGATGCTGAAAAAGACTCTTTAGAGTCTTCTGTGATACCTGCTTTGTGTCCACTTCTATGAAATAAACATCGCCAGCTGTTGTCTGTCTAGAGCTCCTTTTCTAATTGGATAAGTAGCTCTCGAGTATGAAGAAGCACAACACTTCGATCAGTAACTGTGCCCCTTCTATAAGTGTTATTTTTACATTTCCCAATAAACAAAAGGAAAGAAAGCTGAGATATTGAGAACTATGCTCATACTATGCTCCTTTCCCATGTGTTTGCTAAATTCCTTGTTGCTTGTTTAATTCTCAGTTCTTAGATGGCATGGTTACCTGCAGGTTACTCAAACCAGAGATGGGATATTTCTCGGTCAGGACCTGCCTTCCAAAATATCTGTTCTGTTCTTCTGTTTTTACAGACCAACTGAATTAGATGCTCTGGTATTCGGACATCTGTTTACAATCCTTACTACTCAACTAATCACTGATGAACTCTCTGAAAAAGTGAAAAACTATGGTAACCTCACAGCCTTTTGTAGGCGAATAGAGCAGCAATACTTTGAAGGTCACGATAAAGATAGCCCTGCAACTGCTTCAGCCAGATGTGCTAAAAGGTCCTTACTGAGATAAGCGTCTTGTTTGGTGGTCAGGGTGTGCTGCATTTCTGCTTTGGGTTTTGTTGTTTATTGAGTTGGTTTTGAAAATGTTTATTGAATTGGTTTTGAAGCTGCCAAATCATTCTGAAGCGAGAACTCCTCTCCAAATGTAGTGTTAGTGTTGTAGAATACACTGTGCACATTTAACTTGAAATGACTGTATGGGCACCTGGATTTCAATAGGCCGCATGCCACTTACTCTGAAGTGACCTTGAAAGAATATTGTGTCTGTACTAAAAAGAATAAAATATTTGTAAAAGTCCCTCTGATCTTTCTAAATGGCTTTCACTAAGCTTCACGCCAGTGGAATAGTTTCTGCTCATCCTTACAGTAAAAAAGCACAAGGAATACGTGACATAGCGAATGAATCATTTGACTTTGTAATAGAACTCATTATAGGAAAGCACTTCCTCCTTCTGCCAGCACTCCCGAGCCTTTCATGTGCTTGCACTTCAAAAATTAATGTCGACAAAAGTGCCAGCATTTGTAAACGAGTGGTCAAAAATAGGGCTCTGGGGCTTTTTTTTTTTCCTTCCCCTCATACTATTCCTATTAGAATAACACTTCTACCTGGAGGAGAGCTGTATGGTAAACAGTCCACATTACCGTTCTGGACAGCGTTAGAGAACTGAAGTTCTCCTGCCTCAGCCAAAATGCATCCAGGAACTGAGTGACAAAAATGTCTTGTAGCTTTGCAACATCACAACTGATGAGGTTCTATTCAGTCCTTATTTTGTGTCAGTGTGTCAGAACAGCTACTGGTTGTCATTGTGTCTTACTCTGTTTGCCTTGTTTCTGCTTTTACTTCTTGTTCACCATTGGTTTTCAGATTAGAGTTCTTTTTTTTTCTTTTTTTTTTAAATTCCAGTGGTTTTTTCCCTCAGTTTGTCTTGCTCTTTGTTTGAAAGGAAATTTGCTGGCTAAGCATCTGCCTGTTTCTACCTTCAGTATGTTAACACTGCTATTACACTTTGAAATAGTTGCTGGGGTGGTTTGCTTCCTGAAATGAGGTGGTGTGAGCCTATGCTGGCATGCATCAGTCCTCCTGCCTCCATATCCTGTGATGCATGGCAGCACAATAAAATAATACAGCAGTAAGCAAAACTATATCCTTTGGTGCTCCAAAAACCCTGGCAATCTGGACCTTTTCAAGGAAAGAGAGACTGTGCGTAGGCCTGTGTCTTTCTGGTGTTTCTTTGAGCATGTTAAATAGCATCACTTTGCTTTGCTGTGTCAGTTGTGCTTGATGCTTTTCCAGAAGTGCTAACAACCCAGGGAAAATGCTGGTGGCAAAACCAGCCCTCACGCGCTCTACACAAACTGGGAACCTGCCTAAGCAGTCTGACTTGTTGGAACCATTGTGTTTTGGTACCATGAAATATATTTATTTGGCTGTACCTTCCAGTGTCAGAATTACTGCATGGCTTGAACTGTTACGCAGTGATCGAGATTTTGGGCTGCTGTTTCCTCCTTAAAACCTGAGCAGAAAGCAGCAGCATACCTTGCATTGGCTGGGTCTCTCTTGGCTCTGTGGCTCATGAACCACTGCTACTTATTCACATTGCAAGGGACCAGCATTGCCAGCTCAACTGGAAAATGGAGCTGAATTCCTGCAGCTTGCTTTCTGATCTGGGACTCACAATGGAGTTGAACTAAGGTAAGTATCTGTGCGTAAGCGGGGCTTGGCTATCTATCAAATCACTTCTGCTAGGAGAGGAACGTTGCCCTTGTTCTGTGTTTCATCTTCTTAGCTTCGCAAGTTGGGCTTTAGTTTGAAAAGGATTTCAGACAAAACAACCATCTCTTAATTGCTTAGTGGCGATCTCTGCTATCAGTGTTGGTAGCTGAGAACCCAGAGGTTTCTTTAGGGTCACCTTTCCTGCATTAATGTCACCTCTGGAAAAACTAGGAAGTGAATTTGTTGTGGAGGTTTTCTTGGACTGGGGGGAATGGCATATTGTGATAAGCACTGCTTTGAGTGAAATCCTTTCTGACAGGCTTGAAAGCTAGCAGTGCCACAAGGTGGGGGATCCTCGATAAAAGGAAGTATTTTAATCCAGAAGGATTAAACTTGGATTTACTTCCTATGAACTTCAGAGCGCCATTCATGAATGCAGGATTTAACTCAGCTCCAGTGGTTTTGGCAGTTCTGCTACCAGTAGATTGAACTACAGAAATAATTTACTTGGTGGATTTCCAAAGCCACCTGTGCACAGGCACAAACTTACACATAGCCTGAGAAGCACCAGTGGGCATGTATTCTTCCTCTTTTAAGGCTGCAGTGGCCACTGGCCTATTTCTTAACTAATCTGAGAGATTGCTTTGAAATGACAGGGTTGGATTAAACCCCACTGCTGCATTTTGGCAAGAACAGGTTTCTCTGAGGATGAGCAAGCACCGGTAAGACAACAATTTGAATCCTGAGCTGATAGTCATTGCAAATGTTGTGTGGTAACACCTAGCAAGCTTTTAACTTCACAGGAAAAAAACCCCACTGAGGTACTGTATGTATTCACCCACTTTGAATGTCTCATGTAGAAAACATGCCCAAATGCTGTGGAAGTGGTTCAGCAAAAGATAGCGATCTGTTCCAAGCAAAGTTTGTGTAAATCTGAGCTACTCAGACTGCTCTTAAGGATATGGAGACAGGCAAATTACATGGAGCTTTCAATTCTGAAGTGAGAGGACATGCAGGGATTTGCAGGCTAACCTGAATAGTTTCTGGAAACGTAACCCCTCCCCCTCTTGCTTCTTGAGTCTGACTTTGATACCTTCGTTAGTAGAACAAAATTTAAAAAGGATTTTTGATTTCCTTAAGAGCATACCCAGATTGTTCATAACTGCTTGGCCTTCTATGCAACCTCTAAACTGAAAACTACAAGATGCTGAAGATGGCTATTACACTCATAGATGGAGGACATTGAGCTCCAGCAATACAGGAAGCCGTGATGCTTTCATGAACTCAGCACTGAGGATCACGGCTTGCAGACCATGCTCTAACTCTGGGAAGCTGCAGTCCTATAAAGGACAATGACTGCTGCTGAGCTGCTGTGCACAGCTCAAGAAAAAGAATGAAAAGCTGAAACATGACCAGCCATAAAGCCAGGTAGGAACTTCTTGTTTCCCAAAATCAGGACAAAAATAAGATTTCTAGCACAAGGCATGTCAGAAGCAGCTGTGCCATGGCTTAATGTACATCCTCTGAATATGCTCCTACCACAAGAACTGCAAGGACCATTCAGCCAAAGTGGTACACGTGGTCATAAAAGCACTTATTTACAAGTGAATGGACACTGTGGAGCCTGAGCAACATGTACATCACTTACCCTTGGTGGATTTCTTCTCATTGCCTTTCTGTTCCATTAGTTGTTTCATACGGAGATGCTCAAGCTGAATGAGTTCTTGCTGGAAAGTGGCACGTGCTTTCCTTGCCTGACAGAGCTAAACCAAATAGGAAAGCTGTGGTGAAAATAACTGCTCCTCTGTTCCCAGGGTGCTGCTGTGGCAATGTGTTGCCTGACTACAGCAACTTCTGCATCAGTTGTGGGGTGATGGAGAAACTGGTTTCAGAGATGAGAGTGGTGGTACAGCAGGCACTTGTACTGCAGGCACTTGTAGGCTGAGGACAACAAATAGAAGAGGGATTTTATTGTTTACTGTTGCTTTTACTGTGTATGACAGATGTGATTGCTGCAGACTGAAACAAAGTCCAGTTTTAGAAATGTTTCATAATTATATAACTCTTCATACACAAGGAAAGCAGCAGTGTTACTGTGCATCCTTTTTGGATGTTCAGAGTTCTGCCCTGTAGGCAAAAGGTTATCTAGCTGCTGGCAGTGTCTCTGCCTTGAATCTGTGCAGCAAGGCCTGCTGCCTGGGAGGACAGAAACCATCATCATGAATTTGAACATTAAATAATATAGACTGGAGGTTGTTTACATGGAGCAAACAAAAGCCATTCTAAAAACTAAAAACCCAACTTGGAACCTTGTGTGTCTTGATCATGTCCAAACGCATTAACACCTCTGCTGCAAATGTTCGAGGGTATCTCCTTTCTCTCTCTCTCTCTCTTTTTGATTACAACTGAACTATTGCATGGCCCCATGTCTTCCTAATGGCTTTTAATAAGCAAGGGCTGCCCCGCCTCCCATGGAGTTGAACAGCCCTTGGCCAGCACAGGTTAGCTCAGTGGGTAGAAGCGTGGGGCCCTGTATCCAAATGTACAGCGTGGGAAATGGAGCATCCACCCTACTTCACTGTGAGCAGTGACATGAAAACAGCCCGGGATGTGAAAGTGTGAAAGCAGCTGGAATTTCAGCTGCAGGCCTCACAGCGCTGATCCTGGTTTCCAGCTGACAGCTCTCCCTGAGCCCCTGCTTCTCCTGTCCCTCCCTGAAGGCAGTTCTCCACTGGGGAGTGCCTGCTGCTGCATTTTGTACTGCTGTGATGAGGTTACCAAAGAAACATTAGGTAAAAGATCTTCGGATTTAGCAGCTTTCTCTAGGATTTATCACTCCATACATCAGATAGTAAAAACTGTAGTACTGAGTGGTGTTAATGAGATATACATCTGCTGTGTTCTCTGTCTTTTATTTCTCTTCCACCTCTCCAAGGAAAAAAAAATAATCTGGCAATCTCCTGCTTCTCAAATGTACTTAAAATGTGGGCTGGTGGAAAAAAAAGAGCATAGCAAGCCCTGCACATGGAGAATGCTGCTGAGCTGCACTTAATGATGCCTCTTAGGATCAGCCACGCTGCCTGAAAATGCTTCATTTCCTGTGGCTTTCCTTCTTTACAAGCAGAGTGCAGCTCCAATGGCTCTCACAACAATTATCACCCACTTGTTCTGCAGGTTTGAAGTTTTTTGCATTAGTCAGGTGGAGAAATTCATGGTATTAATCACGACTGAAGTTGTTATTTATCACCTGCTGGGTGAGAAATAATAATTTTGGCACTACTGGGGCAGCAGACCAGAAGCACCAAATTAAGTAAAACATCTAAACACCAGCAAGGATCATTTCTCTGATTAATGAATTGTTACAAAGAAAAAGTGCTATTTGTTATCTGATCTTAGGATGAAAGTGGAACGTGGAAGTAAAAACCATTAGTGCAGTCCGGGTGTGCTGTGATGTAGTGTGAAAGTTTCCTGGCGGATCTCTCTGCTGTCACTCACCGACTGAGCATGCACTCGTGTGGCACAGTCGCAGTACCTGGCTCACACTCCCATTGCCAACTTGGCAAAAAGCAGCGTTTGGCAAGAAGCTCGGGGCCCATTGTGTAATGGCTGGAAAGAAACGTTGAAACTACTTTCACCTTCTAGGACTTGCCTGGGCTGGAAGGTTTTGCCATAGGAACAGTCACCAGACTGGCAAAACACCATTGTGTGAAGGCAGTAATGGGGGCACAGGAAATAAAATAAGCAACATCAAGAGAAGTGAGTTTATACCCAGGTAACTGTATCCATGCACAGGGGCCATCAGTCACCTACTGGATTAAAATTCCCACAGATACTTGCCACCTGACCAGAGGTATTTCACATATAAATGCACAAACGGCCTACACAGACATGGTTCCATAGAAATGAGGTGAGTGTGTGCTCTTATAATTGCAAACCACTGTGCCACCATGGTGTGCCCCATCCTCTCCCTGAAAGACTGTGATGTGGAGCTGAGGAGCTGGCCAGGTAGGAATGCCCATGGACACTCCATTTTTTGGGTTCATGAATGAGATGTAAAAACTTGCTCTCAGCTTCAAATACGGTCGAAGAACTCAGCCCTGTAGAGAAGGGACACCACTGAAAAGAAATGAACTTTGGGCTCCATTTTTTTTGTTGTGGTTTAAAGAAAAAAAAAAAAAAAGAACAGGACTTGTTTTAGAGGCCCTTTTGGGCTCCAACTAATACATTTTCTGGAAAGCAGACATAGTCAAAACCACTGCTGTCTACCAAACCAGCATGCATAGAGGCTGACTTGAAACCATGAGCTGACATTAGAGGCTGACGTGACATCACGCCTTTCCTATCTGACAATGGTGAAGTATTCCAGCTGGTCAATAAAGACTTTTTTTTTTTTTTTTTTTTTTTTTTAAGCAAGCTTTACTGCACATATATGCTTTATAACGTAGATTTTTTTTACATTTAAGGAGAAATTTAGAGACCTCAGGGATGTGGGACGTGATGGTCACTTTCTCTACATGAGTTGCTGTCTCCTAGGGTCTGCGCCTTCAGTTCAGTGACAAGAATTTGAAGTGAGAATGAAGAGGATGCCCAGTCACAAGAGCAGCAAAGGGGCTGGCGAGTGGAAGGCCATCCTCCTAGGCGGAGCAGGAGCCATCGGGGGGTACTGGTGCCCTGCTGCAGGCACTGAGGGGAGGAACTAGTGCTGCTCAGCCTTGATCAATTTTGTGGTGCTGGAATGAAGAGCAGCCATCACTCATGCTGCTTAAACTACGGCATGATCCTGCTGCCAGAGCGTGCTCCTTTTTTGCCTTTGTCTTCTCATAATGAATTCACATTCTCTACCAGTTCTTGCCAAAGACTTTCCAGCTGTGGATCAATCTCTCTCCTCATAGACCTGAGGCTCTCTCTGTCATCCCCTCATGGATGGGAGCATCTCCTCTCTGTGCTTTTATCTACAAAGCAGAATTTTGGCCAGCTTCTCTTGACTTTGAAGCTATCTTTTGCTGGTCACATGATTCTCTCACTCTTGTGATCAGCAGTTCTGTCACTGATGCCCTGGATAATCACCTGAGATTATCTTGTGATGAATGCCTCTCATCTTTCAGATGTTAGGAAGCTGTTAGGCTAAGAGCTGCCCCTTTCTTTTCTTCTCAACACAATAAAAACTTCCCTTCAAGTCCACTTTCTGCTTCCACGTCAATTCCTGTAAATTCCTCTCTAAAATTCCATTGCAGTTTCTGTTGGCTCTTTCCCTCAGAAGTGAGAGTATTTTGATCTACAGTGCCTCCTAGCCAAGAAGTATACAGCCAAATTACTGACTATCTCTAAGATCTCTTTCATTTGCAGCTTAAGTCTGTGTTGTAGCATGCTTAAAGAACCAGTTGATGGAGATCAGTAGTTTGGGGGCATGATGGGAAGGGTACTTTTCTATCTACTTGAATAAATTCATCTCCAGCATATTTTGTCATAGGTTATAGTGTTTTGCAAAAGGCAGGTAGGTTGATGCATGTGTGTGATAATCACCAGCATTAGGCCAGACCTGCTTGTTAACTTTTGTATGATAAGCAAGCATGAGCACACAGGGCTTTCTCTTATGTCAAAACACGCTTGTAGCAAAGCACAAAAACAGTGCTGTGCAGAATGCTGCCCATCAGCTGATGGGAGCGTTTCTGACACACACACAGGACAGCTCCTGCGTACCTGTTTCAAAGGAGGAGCTTTTATCTGGTTCAGCGCGCTGTCCTGGGGCCCTTCCTGCCTTTGCTGCTACTTCATGGTCTTCCTATGCTGGGAAAAGGAACATAGCGAAGTTTTTATGCCTATGGATCCCACTGTCTGCTCTGCACTGGAAGAGATTCCTCACACCACTAAAATCACCTTAGAGCAAACAGAAAAACCAGCTTTCTAGGCTTGCTTAGATGGAAAGAAGCACCCTTCAACCCCACCCTAACCATACCACCTTCTGCAACTCTGAGTCCTCATGCCACTTCTGCAGGAAACAGAAGGCTGAGAAAGTCACTCAGTTCCATGATGTGTTTCCACAGGCCACGATGCCTAAAATCTGCTCTTCTGACTCACAAATCACAGAAAATTGCAACAAGGTGGTTTTTTTTTTCTCTTTTTCTTTTTTTTTTCTTTCTTTCCCCTGATTAAAATTCAACACTGGAAAATAACAGGAATTAAGACTAAAACTCATTTGGCTAACACAGCTCTATAAAATCTATTTGGAATGCTTGTATTAAAATAGTAAAAATCATCAATGACTTACTGAGAAGCAGGCTGAGAAAAGCTTGGGAGTGCCAGGAGCAACTCCTCTCTGCTGAGGGGTTAAGAGCGTGAAATGCTTAAATGAAGTTTTTAAAAGAGGAAAAACTGATAGCAATAGGAGAAAGGAGTTCCATTTCAGTCCTTAGCTCACATCAGTGGGTTTGTCAGTGCCTTGTGCTCTCTCTGCAGTGAGTTGGAGCCATCTCTTGCACTGCAGCCAGCAGAAGTGGTTTGACGCATCACTACAACACACGTTTGAAACGTCACTGATCTGCAATCAGTGATTTCTACCCAAAGATTACAAAATACTTGACAAACTGAACCAAGTGGATGAGTCAGAAAGCAAAACCTGTTCAACAGAAGAGCAAAGTCAAGACACAGCAGTTGCAAGTAATTTGTCCCAAATGCGAGCAGAGCAAAATCTGGACCAGGAGCCTGGAGGCTGCCTTCCCAGCTCCACGCTCCAACCTCCGCACTGCATTCTTTGCTTCTCTCTTAACCACAACGGCCTCTGAAAATAACCCTTCAAAGGCATTTCTTGGTAGTAACAAATGAACCATCAAAACCTAAACAAAGAACCCAGCAGTCGAGACGATGCGAGTTAACAAACAGAAATAACTAAGCCCGCTTTGTCCTCTGCTTATTTCCAAACGGATAAAGCCCAGGTCATTTGCACAGACTTCCTCCTTCCCCTCTTCTTTGCAGCCGCTTAGGAGTCCCCAGGAGACAGCACCATTTTCCTTTGCTTTCCAATCTTTAAAATATATTCATTCCAGTTTTCAAATTGCTATTTTGTAGTGCTAAATCTCTACCCACACTAATTTCTCCAGGTCAGAATCTGACCCTGATTTGAACAAAATCTGGAGTCAAATATTCACACCAGAATGCTTCTGCCTTGCTGCATGTCAGATGCCATCTTCCTGCAAATGTGTCACACACCTTGGAGTGCAGCTTGTGGAACTGATGAGGTGAAGAGCGCCGCGGAGCAGCTCTGTGCTGGTAATCACAGGACTGAAGAAACACATACATCATCTGCCACATAGGTTGGCATTTCAAGTAAAAAACCTTCACAATGTGTAAGATGTTGGACAAATGATGGCCATATGCATGTTTGTCTCTGAGCAGATGTCTTTGCGTTCTCAGCTAGGAAAAAGCTGAGGTAGGCTCTTTTTTGCAGACAGTTTAATATTAGTGACACAGTTTATGTCCTCTGCAAAAACAATAATGGAGGATAAGGTGACATAAATTGTTTGCAAATCGTTTGACATATGCAGGGCATTGTCCTTGCAATAATCACCATCAGTCTGTCAGTTTAAGATATGAACCGTGCCACTGCCATTTTATATCATTGTGTTAAGCTTTCACATGTTGTAATTTTACAGATTTGTTCTTTGCAGAACACTGCAACACAAATCAAATTGTATTATGTTTAGTCATACGTCGGTGGAGCACCTTGCGGCAATTAGGGATGGAGCAGACGAGCAAACAGTCGCAGATAAGAGCCAGCTCCTCGAAAGTTAGGAAATCTGTTAGATACCATTACTCAACTTTCGTGGTCATTATTCAAGGCAGGAGGAATTATTTAAATTCATGCTAACATCAGTTGCTGGCTGCATGAGCAAAGTGAGCACTGGAAAGTATCGTACTGACAGATCAATTTAAAACCCCCTTGTCTTTTTTGTTTCACCACAGCAGTCACACACAGGGTTTGATTCTTATGAATAATGTGGGTTTTTCCAAAGTCAATATGCGGATTTCTTTTCAACTTACAGAAGACCCCATAGGTGCCTGTAGTTTTTAACCCTGCCTTCCGTGGATGGAACAGAATGTTTCTGGAATAGCAATTAACTCAGCACTGTGTCTTTTATTCTAAGCAAATTAATTCCTGTGGCACATTTCAACAAACAAACAAACAAGCAAACAAATACAGACAGAAAGGCCCAAAGTCAGTGGGTTAATTTTAGTCTTTTTTTTAAATTTGAACTGCTGACTACTGTGGGAACCTCTCACAAGTGCATCCTAAGTGCATTCAGTGCCAGGTACCTCATTTTAACCATCTGAGAAACATTTTAGCATGAAGGTGTGTCTTAATCAGTGGAGGAGTCAGTAGGAAATACTGGAACACACATTCCGGATTCTGCATTTCAGTGACTTTTTACTCTATTTTGAATGGAGAAACATGATTTGTTTTCCCCTGGGAAAGTTCCCCACATTCAGCTGTCAGCAGAACAGAATCTTTCTGCTTCCAGTGAGCCCTTAAACTAGAAAGATTTATTGCACTTACACCCTTGAAAGAACATATCTTTTTCTTTGAAGGCAGCCATTATCACCATCCCATTTTATATCTTTTCTGATAAGTGCAGGCAGTAAAGTAGATAAACTCCTTGCATACCAATTAAAGACACACCACGCCGAGACGTATACTATCAGGGATGCTCAGAGTAATATTCTTCTGAACACAGTAGATATATCTAGGGAGTTTGACTTTTATTATTCTCAGCTTTACACCTCTGACATTTCTAAAAACACGGCGGAAATTAATGAATTCTTGCCCAGGACTCTATTGTCTAATCTTGCCCCGGCGCTCATGAATTATGGAAAATGACAGATCAGCTGATGGCATTCAGTGGGCTAGTTTAGAACCACCCTTTTAACACAACCTGGGCCACAAAAAGCTCATCCCTGCATTTCATACGGCCACTTGACAAAATATTAGTCCTGTTTTACATGACACCTTAAACAACAGCCTGTCTCCTTCACATCCAGCCTTATACGATCATGGTCAAGCAAAGAAAGTACAAAAGCTGGAGCCCTGAGCCTCAGGCTGCCTCTCTCTCTTCTCAGGTAGGGTACTGCAGATCTAACTCAAGCAGCCTGCCTTGGACTTTTCCTCTGGACATCTCCACAAGCTACCTGTGGGCTCAGGGACATCTTGAGGCTCTTACACACAGCCTCCTCCACCTGCCTGTGCAAGGCTCCTCCACGTGCCTTTCCCCAGGCAGAAGCGAGGCCTTCGCTCACACTGAGTGGGGAAGGCGCAGGCTGGAGGGGCACTGAGCACGGTGCAGCACCCTGCAGCCAGCGTAACAGTTCAGGCCCAAGGGTTGCTGCCTGCTCTGTAAGGCAGGCACAGCAGAAGCCTTCAGCCATGCCATCCCACATGCTGCTCATGTGGCTGAGATGGCGGCGGGGGACCGGTGGGTGCTGCCCTGTGTGCTGCTCCCTCAGGGCCTTGGCTGAAGTGTGCCGTGACCCAGAGACCACTTATGTGCGTGGGCTGAGACCTGCTGTTGGGACAGGGTTCCCTTTAAGAGGAGATTGAGGGAAGCAGTACATCTCCTTCAGAACGTCTGAGAGAGCCGACGCCATGCAAAGCACTAATCGGTAATTAATACAAATAAAAGAAACGATCGTTCATGGTGCTGGTAATAATAACACTCCCGAGTTTGTTCTAATCCATCTTTTTGTCAAATGAAGCACTGGGGAATTTGTCTGCGACAGTCAGAGTATTTTCAGTCTTTGCTTTGATTTGCACTGTGGGTTTAAGCACTGTTAGACCTCAGAATAAATAATAAATAAATAACCAGAAGGAACAGCTTTAATACTTGTAAGCTGCTTTTTAACGTGCACAGGGAATCTTTGAACCGTGTATGTGCCTCTTACGCCAAAATTTAACTTCATCTACAAATTCTATGAATTTATCTACAAATGTGGCAATAGCCACTGCGCAAACCCTGACAGTGCCCTTCCCTCCTATCTACCAGCTGAAGAATACTGAGCTTCCTCCAGAGAAGTGGCACCTTCCACCACACCAGACAGCCCTGAACCTTTAAATAGCTTCGTGTTCATTATATTTAGGGACAATTACACCAGCGACTTCCTGGCTGCAAATATGATTCATTACTCTGAAGTAGAAGTAATACCTCTAATAGACTATGCATTGAGCTGACCCAAAATAGCTGCTGCTGAGTACTTGCTCCTGAACCACTCCATGGATGGATCTGTTAAATGATTCTAACCATAGATAGAAAAAACAGATTACCCTGCCACGTAATTATTTGGCCCTACCCCTAAATCTTTATGTAAACTAAATTTCAAAGGTGGACAACACTAAGCAGTGTTAATAACGGGTTCTTAGGTATAATTTGTCTGGAACTTGCTGGGAGGTTATAAATCCGATTTTAAATTAAAGAATTTGCATTTGCTGTTTAGTCATCCTTTAGCTCTACTTTTACCACCATTCTTTGAGTAAAATTTAAAAAAACAAAAAAAAAAAAAAAGAAAGAGGAAAAGAGAAATAAAGGAGTGATTCTTTCTTCTGAGTGAAGAAAGCAGAAAAGGGTCACTTCCAACCCCCGTAGGGCTGAGGGCACAGCTCCTGCTCCTGCCCTGCGGTGACGCTGCACTGATCCACAGCACTGCCTGGCACCTGCACAGTCGTTCCTGCAAGGATGTGCCGCCCCGCTATGGACTCTGACCCTACACACTGATGGGCTTACAAGTTGCAGAGTTCACACAAACCGAGGAGACTGAAAATGACTTCAAGAGATTACTATGCATCCATTCCCTACTGCAGAGCCCTAAGCCATAAAGAATCCCTCTTTTTTTAGGTGAGAGCACTCCCAGCTGCTCCGAGGACCTTCAGGTCACCCTCAGCACCCAAAGCAGACAGCATTTCTCCCGCTGAAGCACCCACACTGCCTGGTGCCTGGCTGACCTGAGCTGTGCTCCATTCTAAACCATCCAGGTGGTGGCTCTCAGCTTCTGGCCCAAGTGCTCCTTTGGTTAGAGCAGCAGCAGCCTGTGCCAAGCCTCACTCCACACAGTATCAGATGCCACTGCCAAAAGCCTCAGCGACAGGGTCTTGGGATAACCCCAGCGCACGTCTCTCTGCTCAGGCTTGCACAGGGCATTCTACAGTGCTGGTACGTAATCCGGAAATCATCGTAAGTAATAATTAAACATTGAGTCAGATTAATTCCAGGCTTGCTTGCCCTGGATAATAATACTATTAATTCTCCAGAGAGGAAAGTAAGACAATAATGAGAAAACTAAACACACATAATTCCACAAAATGCACAGGAAATATTTCCAGTGTTAATTTTGTAATATGGAATATTCATGTTGTAATATGGTGGTGACATAAAATATGCAGCAGCGGCAAATAGAGGAAAGTTGATGGCCTGCCAAGGCTGTTTCTCCTTAACATGCAGATGGTTCCTGAGCAGTCACTCCTGCTGAGGCAGCTGCCTGCACAGTGCTCCCAGAGGACTTCATCCAGCTCCGAAGTGGGATCGGACTACAGCCTGGGATCACATGGAAACCCACCCAGACTGGGGGATGGCCTCGGAGGGTGCTTCCTGCCGCCATGTCAGAGACATTGTGCTTACATGCAGCAATCTAGGTGCCGGGGAGCGATGTCTACATGATATATGGCTGCTGGCAAAATGATCCTGTCCGTGGGCTATTGCTGGCTCTAATTAAAGGAAGACACAGGCTACTGAGTTGGGGTCCCTTCCATCGAAGCTGAGAGGACAGCAATCTCCAAGAGAGCTGCAAAGGAGGACAGATTCATTTGACTGATTGCATGATGTCTGAATTAATGGTCAGGAAAAGAACCATTATTGTGCTCTTACTGGTAGGCTGCTTCTGGGAGTTTTTACTGTGCTATCTGCTTGAATGTGGAAGTAAAGCAATGCATTCTTTGAGGCACAGCTGTATTACAGACTGTTTTTCTATATCTCCGTATGTATTTGTCCTGTGTTTGTACGAACAGTCTGAATCGCTCACACAGAAAGTGTAGCACAGTCACAATGCCACGAGCCACGTGCAATGTTTTTGCCTCTGCCAGTGCCTGGTCCAGGGCTGTGGGATCATTTCCAACCCAAAGCCCAGCTGCCTGTGGGGCAGGCTCAGAGCTGCTCTTCCATCTCAGCCGCTCTGTCCTGCTGCAGACAGTGGGCATTTGGGCTGCAGTCTCTGCTTTGGGAACAGCCCAAGCTGCCGTCTGCAATTGCGGTGAAGCCAGGTATGGTGTGTGTATGGTGTGCCTCTCCAGGATCAATGCTACAAGGCTGAGTGCCTAATGCATAATGAACGTTCAATACGCTCAAATACAAATACCTTGTAAGGAGCAGGCTGTTAGTCAAACAAATGCTGCTCTAACTTTAAAATAGCCGTATCGTTTTATTGACGCTGCGGGTGGCAGAGACAAAGCAAAGCACTGCACGACACAGAACACGGCACCAAACAGCTTTGGCTCCTGGCCGCCTTCGCGTCTCCCTGTTTCTGGGGCTGGGAAAAGCTCACTAATTAAATCCTGGTAGCCAAGCTGGAGCTGCTGGGATCAGAGGAGTGAGGAATAACTGCTATCAAACAACAAAGGCCAGGTGGCCCAGCACGTGCTTGACAGGTGGGAAAATCTGGTTCAAACCCTTGGTGTTGGGAGGGTGCTTCTATTTTTTTGGAGGGGGGAGGAGGCTTAATTCTTAAGAAAACATGCATGTGAGAAGTCTGCTTCTCTCAGGATTACAGCAAACTTTCAAAACTGGAGCAAGTTCCAGAGCTAAAATTAAGCTCACAAGCTGCAGCAAGCTTGCAGGCTGGAATGAGCCTGCAAGCAACAACCTGCTTCCAACATTACATTTGAATGTAATGCTTATATTTCCCAGCTCTTCAGGATCACAACAGACTTCTAGCTGGATTACATGGCTTACATCATCTCTTGCCAAGAGCTGCGGGATCAAGCTGTGGAAGTTCTTCAGGATGACCCTTCACTACAAATATGACTCATCAGTCCCACCCCACTCAAAAGGCAGCATCAAAGTTTGCTCATGTGGCAAACTTCACTTCTTTTGGGAGTCCTCCACTACTAAGCAAAAGTCTCATCTCAGATGAAATGAAGTCAACAACACATGACAAGGCAGCCAGATTCCTTGTTTCTTATTTGCTACTTCTCTCTGGGAGTTGGCAGAAAATTCTGCTAAAGCACAAATACAACCCCAGTGCCAGCTGGCACCGTCCGTGTGGGTTTTGGCTCCTGCTGTGCACAGCACTGACCACCAGCACCACTGGGGTATAAATGTTTCTCATTTACAGTCAGTGTAGGCTTAAGACTCAGTGATTTCTATGGCCAAAAATGTGATATAATCTGATCTGTGTATTATGTGTGGAGAATTACAACCTACACCCATACAAACCCACAGGACCTGAGCAGCAGAATGAGTATCTCCACAACTCTTCAGTGTCAGCATGTGGAAAAGTTTCTCAACTCTGTTTAAAAGTTTTTAACAGAAACAAAACAACCTGTTGTTCTTTCAACGCATGATCAGAAATAGTTAAGCATTTGTATTTGATTAAAAAGCAAATCTCAGCTCTTCTGATTAAAAATTCAGAGAATAAAAAGCAATTCAAACAGTCTCTAATAGCAAATGGGAAGTGATTTTAACCATGCCAAAACCTATATGAGAAAAGCAGAAATGAGATGACATATCTTCCTTTGTATTAGAAATAGTGTCAAAGTGCTGTAATTTTACTACATACATTGTTGAAGTATGTCCCTTCTTGTGCTCTTTCTACAAGAAACTAGAATTACTAAAGAATGAATTAATAAAGAAAGAAACATTTAACAAGATACTTTTCACCATGTGCCATTACTGAGAGTTACTGAGCACTCCTGAAGCATCAATTCAAAAGCCAACACTACTCGAATCAGTTTGAGTGTGTGCATGCACATTTGTACACAGCCAATAGATTAGGAATTCATACTGTTCGAATAAATTGGAATAGCAAGAAGAAAATACAGTGAACAATGCTTCAGAAGAAACAGGTAAATAGTGAGTAGCTGGATAAATGTAGTTTAATGAGCATGCTATAAAAGGTATTTTTTCCATTATCAACTTAGTGCTGACTCACTCTCATTCAATGTTAAAATCAGCTTTGCCATCACTGCTTGATACTGTGTCAGGCAAGTGCTGCCTCATAGGTATCTGTTATTACAGAAGGAACTTCTATACTGGAATATTATTTATATTGAAATAGGTACACATTGGTTTGGCGCTTCTGTGGACACAAGTGCCTTCCTTGCAAGCAGGGACACCATGTTATAGTAAAGAAATATTCAAAACCATCTATTTACAACATTATTTTAGTGGCTTCTGAAAAAAAATATCATGTGCTTAAACTGTCAGTGTTAGGACGTGGAATTTATTTTCTCTCTGCCAATTAAACTCTTTTTTTTTCTGTGTGATGGCTCCAGGGCTCTTCACAGCAGGACTCTGCAGAGTCAGAAACAAATCTTCATTTGCAGCAGTGTGTTCCGAGGGCTTACTCCCAGTAGCTCTGACTTCGGAACCAGCACCAGATCTGCATTTTGGTCCTGCTCCTGGCACTCCCAGGCACCTGAGCCCCCCAACAGCCACCTGTGCTCCCTGATTTGGTTTAGCTTTCCTAACCATACGGGACTGTGCTGATCCTCTCCTCATTCCCAGTCACCTCTGCAACACGCTCCTGTGGCTACAAACATTTCCATGCATACTTTAAAGCAGTCTGGGGCTGATTTATTCAGTGCACCTGCACGGGGCTCGAGGGAACATTCTGCACCGCCCACAGCCTCCCAGGCGCACGCATTCCCCACAGACTCCTTGGTCATGACCCTGCCTCCTTCTCCTTCAGCCCTGGATTGCATAGCTGAAATGTTTCGCAGGAAGACATGTCCAAGAGTGGTGGTGAAGTGCTGGGATACGGAGCTGCTACTGCACCTCTTGTCACAAAATTGTTTGAGTTGGAAGGGACCTTTAAAGGCCATCCAGTCCAACCCCCTGCAATAAACAGGGACACCTACAGCTCCACCATGTTGCTCAGAGCCCCATCCAGCCTAACACTGACTGTCTCCAGGGACAGGGCACGCACTGCTCCTCTAAGACAACCTGTTCCAGTGCCTCACCATCGTTACTGTAAAAAATTTCTTCCTTATGTCCAACCTAAATCTCCCCTCTTTTAGGTTTTCTTTGAAACCATTTCCCTCTGTCCCATCACAACAGATCCTGCTACAGAGTCTGTCCCCTTCCTTTTTATAGCCTTCCCTTAAATACTGAAAGGAACTCATGTCCAACTGGGCTCTGGCTGTCCTTTTAGCAGCTCACTCTTCTACCAGAAGCTTATGTGATGCGTCCTCAGAGAGGAGGTACGAAGGTGGCAGCTTTGGTTGGAAGCAGGAATGGGGCCCTGTGGTGAGGTGCTCTTGCCTTGATGGCTTAAAACAGAAAAAGGAATGCCCTGGAAATTTTAACACACCTGGCTCTTAGCACAGTCTTTCTTTCCTTCATTAGCATTTTGCCTGTTAAGATGAGTTGGAAAGGAAATCCCCTAAAGCTGCATAGCTAGGCAGATAAAATGAGCACTAATGGTCTCCCCTTACTGACAGCACTTTGGCTGATGCACACTTACAGAAGGACAAAGGAAGTCAGGAGCACTGTCAGACCCTTTTTGGACAATGTCTTGGAGGAATTAATCACATCAGTGTTTGCTGCACGAGGCCATGCATTTTAGGCACTGTTTGCTCCTCCAGCTCTTTAAAACAAGGAATCACTTCTTCCCTAGGACCCAGGGGTCAGATTTGGTCCCTTTCTGACACCTCAAATCCTTTCAGTTTGCCTGCTGCTGTTCCGCTAAATGGTGGTGTGAGGTAATTTATTTGGGAGCAGGGTTAAAGTGTTAATGAGAACACCACATTTTTCATAAGCTCAGCAAAACTGAAAGCAGAATTCTCAGCTGAGAGAAAGAAAAAAAAAAGAAATCCTCAGCACATACTGGAGCCAAGAAACATATGGAGCCATTTTAAGCCACAGTTCTATCTTCTCAGGTTTCAAGGAAGTAAATCTAAAGCGCGGTCTGACCACTAATACACATGCAGGAAGTGCATGCCTCCAACATCAGTACAGAGCAGGCTAATGGGAGCACTGCTCCTGCGAGGTGCTGAGAGCCTTCACCTCCACTTGTGGCCTGAAGAACGGGCAGGTTTAGCACCTGGAAGGATTAGGCTTCTAAATGTCCCTACTGCCGATAGCACATTTGCCAGGAGAATTGATTTGACAAGGGTAGCGATGTATGGCCATTAAATTATTTGCAGATTTGACCTATCTGTCCATAGTAAGAAATAATACCTGAAATGCCATAACTCTGTCAAACATTTCAAAGGAATTCTTGTTTAAAGATCGAATGCATTATGTAATCTCATAATGTCAGATTAGGACATAAAGCTCTGGAACATGACACAGAGCAGCACTACAAGACATACTGTGTCAGAAATTTTACAAACAATTTCTTCTGGGCCTCTCACATGTTATCAGTTTGAGCAGTGACTATGATACATTTCAAATTTCTTATGGCAGCTGGAAACAAAATGACGTGGGAGATATGTGACTGGAAATCTCATCCAGAGGCTCTTGAGAAAGGATTTTTCCATGGCAAAGCACTACAGGCTTGGGGATTTTGTCCTGCTGTCAGAGCACCTGCGGGGGGAATGGGGGGCAGCACGACCGGAATCGAGGAATGTAACGGAGCCCACTGCTGTGTGCAAGGCTCTCAGTTAACAGAGCTCAAATTATTCACAGCAAAAGAAATGTTAAACTGTGCTACCTACCACCAGTATGGGGGTTTAGGCTTACCCAGTGATTGTGGCTACAGTTTCATTAGCATCATTTTCCTCCATATGGACTTA